GTCGCATATGTTTATTAAAGGCGATGTTGTATTATAATGTTTTCTAAAACCCGATTGATTAGGTGGGATTATCTGATGTACTTCAATGTATGATGTAAGTTGAAGTTGTACAATCTTTTCAAGGATTTTTGACAAAATAGGTAGTAAACTGATTGGTCGAAGATCTGATAGGAGACCGGGTTTCAAAGTTTTTCCTATAGGTATTATCAGTGCTTGCTTCCAAATTTCAAGACATAGATTGATAATGTGAACTAAGTGGAAAAATATAACGGGTAGGCTTACCTTTACCATAGTTAGCGTAAGACCATCTATTCCTTTGGCATCTGATTTAAGAGATTTAATAGTTTGTAGAATTTCTGAAGGATCAATAATTCTAAATGAAAAAGAATCAGGTGGAAAGAAGTGACGATTTTTGTATAGGTGACATAATTCTTCCGAGGCATTATTTGTACTGTAAACTGACATAAAATAGTCATTGATTTCATTTGGATCAGATAGATTATCTGGAAGAGGGGTTTTTGTCCGAGAATGTATATTAAGGTGGTTTAAGCCAATCCATACCTTTTTTTCGTTCAGATAAAAATTGTAGATATACTCTTTTCTCTTTCCTCACCTGAGTAAGCGCGTGATTTCTTTTTTGCTTATAAATATTTAGGTTTTCTACAGTTTTATTTGTTTTATATGTAGTATGGGCAATATCTCTTTCTTTAAGAACGTCACGTAGGCGGGGAGATAGCCATGGAGCAGGTGGTTTGTTTACTCTAAAAGTAGTTACAGGAGCATGTTTATCATAAACTCTCATCAGTGTATTTATTAGGAACTCAACTTTAGCATCTACATGGTTCATAAAAAATAAGTCGTCTAAATTTGCAGAAGCTAAGTCACTTAGAAAATATTCTTCGTTGAAGCATTTGAAGTTCCTTACAGTTACAAACCGTTGTTTATTTTTCAAATCAGGAATGGATAGAGTGCACGATACCATTTTGTGGTCAGATATGCCGTTAGAATCAAGAACCAAACAGTCGGAAATAATGTCTGGTTTATTAGTAAAAACTGGATCTAATAAGGATGCTGTGTTACTTGTCACTCTTGTAGGATCACTGACAATTTGAGAAAAACCCACCATTTGAAAGCATGGAGAAAGGACGTTCTTGCCGCTCAAAATATCAACATTCAGATCTCCTACAATAACAATGTTATCAAAATTGTTTGACATTAACGGTAACATGAGATCTAGAGCGCTGATGCAATCATTGAGGTTTTGTGAGGGTGATCTATACAACACACCCAAAAGCAAGAGGTATTTGTTTATTTTTATGCTGACCCACAGTTGTTCCAAGCAATTTCCAAAGCTGTTGTCAAAGTTAATAATTTCGACCTGAAGGTCAGTGGATATGTAGACTCCTACTCCGCCACCGCGGGATCCCCTTAGATCTTAAGATTTGCTAATCAGTAGACACACTGAGTTGTCGACCACTTACTCTAGGCTCTTGAAAATTCACGCTCCCAGTCTCTCTCAGTCGCCGATATGTTGTTGCGAAGGTAACATTTTTGCGCTTTATGTGAATTGCAGTTAGCACTGCCATTAGCCAGCAGCATATCAGCATATTCCTCGTTACTGAACCTCGGCATTATGACAACAATGAAACTTGATGATGACGTTGAAAACACTAACAATAACAAAAAAAGAGACAACAAAATCAAACGCAAATACACTTCTGGAATTAGAGATAGTCAAAGCTCGACTAGCCCTAATTTCGTAATGCACTCTCTTATCTATGAAATGATGAGGATCAAAATTGAAATGTAATTATCAGGTAAGCTCAGGAATCCAACAGGGGCAAGTTTATCTGAAATTAATGAGCTGCGATACCTAGAATACATACCTGCCAGGTTATGGGATTAGACATTAATGGCAGCGGTTTAGAACACTTATGATAAAGCGTTTTAACCCTTAACAGGAAACGTGAATTTTTGGAACACAAAAGGAAACATGCCGTCTCTCAGACTGCGAACTTCAAGATGTTCAAAAAATTAGAGTAAGGCGAAAAGCAAGCAATAACTTCGCTGAAACTGATACTGGATGTTTATTTTATGTGTTTAATACGTAAAATGCTCATTTCAAAATGATACAAGAACATAAAAGAAACATTTTTATTAACTATGCTAAAACCATACAAAAATAACGCTGTTGTTTCAACATTCAGAAACTAAATTAAAACTATGGAAAAGTCTCAATATTTTTCTATTTTCTAGTTAAGTAATGAACAAGGAAAGTATATTATAGTCAATAAATACAAAAAGAACACAATCAAAATTCACTGCAAGTCTCAAACATTGCCTATATTTATGCAGCTAATACATTTGGGTTTGGAGCATTGAAGACATACAGGCTTCCTACATTGTACACACAAAAATTTGGTCATCCGATGGGTCGTTCGGTGACATAAAAAGCACGCTTTCCTTTTTTCCAAAACCAAATTTTCAGCTTCTGTTGCTGGATGTTCACATTTGCCAAGGATGCGATTTATCGTAAGTCGCAAATCCCGAGGTAAACGGGGACTCTCTAGTCGCTTTTCCATATGCTCACGGACCAGGTTAGCGGCCAACATCTTAGCAAATACCGATTTTTCCTTCTGCAATTCATTTTTCTTATAGCACTGGTGTAAAATATACGAGTTCACTACCGATATATCCAATAGTCGGTAGAAAATAACCAGTGGCCACCTACGCGAACGGCGACTTGAGGTACTCTTCGAACATTTTTCATCAAGAGAATCAACTCCACCTTTATTAGCATTGTAATAGGCTATTATTTCCGGTTTCTGTGTTTCCGGATCACAATATTTTCTGTGGTGCATAGAAGATATGAGTATTGTGGCTTTATTTTTTTTGCTTACATGAGACACAATAGTGGAATCTTCTCGAAATCCGTACATTGTTGATCCGACTTCTCTTGATTTGTTGGGTAAAAATGCCGGAGGAATTTCTCTTTTATTTTTCTTCATTGTACCCACATAGGTCAGTTTGTTCTTCAATAGGACATCCATTAATTCTATTGACGTAAACCAGTTGTCCGCTGTAATGTTGCGATTAGTTCCAAACAGAGGCTTCGCGAGACGTAGAACTGATTGTGTGGGTTTGGAATACCGCTTGTGTTCCTCAGGAAGTTCGAAACTATCGGAATCTTTACCGCAGTATATATATGCGTTATAGAGGTAGCTATTCCTTGCATCCGTCAATGCCATAATTTGTATGCCATATTTGCAAGGTTTCGCAGGCATATACATTTTAAATCGACATCTTCCTCTGAAACTCACGAGCATTTCCTCGACAGTGACAGACTGGCCAACTCCGTACACATCTTGACAGTTCTTTATAAAACTATTAAAAATGAAAGATATTGGTGCTACTGGATCTAGCTTCTTTCTTTCATTCCTGTCATCTGGGTTATCAAACCTTAAGGCTGACAGGAGAATACCAAATCGTTTTATGTTCATGACAGCTCTGAATATATCTCTTCCAGAGCCATCGGTGGCAAAAAGTGTTTCAATGTTCCCGTGGTTGCTGTTGTACACCGATGTATATACTAAGAGACCCAATAGTGCCTTTATTTCGACTAAATCAGTGTCGTTTAGGTTGCTGGTTTGATTTTTGTATCTCTTTCGCATTTCTTTGAGCTTGTGATTGGTCCACTTAACGATATGTACCAACATGTCGTCAGTGAACAAAAGCTGCCAAACCGTCAACGGAGCTGCTTCTTCTCCATATTCATGAGCTTTTCCTCTTAGAGTTGGTACTTTAATGACTATATTGTGCTTCCTTGTACGTGATGATGGTACAACTTCCGAAATATTCCACCTATGACGATTTTTTCCATAGAAATAATTCTGAGCTGGTAAATCCTCTTCATTTCCTTCGGCTCCGTCTTCTGATAACTCACTATCACTTGTATGATCTGATTCCATGTATTCGTCTTCTGAGGCACTGTCTATATCACTAAAGTCACTTCCTTCATCCTCAAACCATTTTAGAACGGTTTCTTCGAACTCCGGTCCCGCCATACTCGCAAACGCACCTATGCAACACAAATAGCAAACGGGAACGGAAACGTGCCGTCTGACAGACTGCAACAAACTAAAATTGGTCCATATTTTAAGGCACGTTTTGGCTAGACTCGTGTGAATGGGGGTGGGCGATGGTCACTAATAGCTTATGGATTAGATGGCTTTTTACGTCTGTTAGAGGTGCAATAAAAAAAGATACGCTCAGGTATAGAAACGCCGCAGTCTCACAGACGGCACCTTTCCGGTTAAGGGTTAAATCATAGCTAAGTAAAATAATTGCTTGTTGAACCAAATAGTACAGTTGTTGTAAACCGTTGTCATTAACTTCATTATTCTCACGTGGAGGCAGTCACTTCGAAAAGACCGACTCAAATTACATAAAAATGTATAAATCGTACAACAAATCATCGACACACTGTTTTTTGTAATTTTGACCACTAAACAAATTATTTCTATGACGTGTAGCATATCGTTGGAAAGGCAAAGAAACACGGAACTTTTTGGAATACGACTAAGTATCACCAGAGGTATAGTTTTTTGTAATCGAATTTTGAATTTGAAGTTGTTTATTCACTCCGCGCTATTTTACGACTTTGGAAGGTCATAAGTCATTTTGTCGACTCGAATTTATCTTGTGTTATTATCTCAACAAACAAAAAAGTTATCGCGATAATTCTGCGCCATTGTAGGTAATTCAGCAAAAAAAAAACGAAAAAAATCATATCTCGGAAACCGTAGCCATTAGAGCATTACGGTTTCCACCAAAAATCATCAAATAGTGTCTCCAATTACCCATATTTTTTTGTCTGTTTATGTAAGAAACACCCTGTATATGGACAAAATATACTACGACCTTTAGGCTAGCTTAATTTGAAATATTCTAGGCACTTTAGCTTCAAGGGTGTTATCCCCACTACAACAATTTTTAACGTAATGTCAGATGAAAATTTTCTAGAACCTGATGGTAAAGATGATGATGAATCTGAAAGCTTATCAGCGGATCGACAGAGCAATATACACCCACCTTCAATAGCTAATGATGAACAAGCTGAGATGGAAGAAACAGAATCTAGCCTTTCGGGGAAGAAAACTGTTTCGTTGCCCATTCCAGGATGCAAACGTGGTGAGGAAGATTACGACTGCGTTATTGTCGGAGAAATTAATAAGTAAGAGGATCTTATTATTCATGTTACTCTACCTTACTTTCCACGATAGTCTGACATGTCAAAGCGTGACAACATATAACAGCTGATGGCGAAACGACAGAGGCGTAGGATCGATCCAAACCTAAATCTATCCAGTTACAAAAGTATAATAACAGAAAGGACCATCTCTACCGTACTCGTATGCATATGTTAGGAGTACGTCGATGGCAACGCGGAAAGGCGCAGCTGTGTCCGTGGCCTCGTCACTCGTGTTGCTAGACAACGTGGTGCTTCTCTCTCTCTCTCTTCATAACATACGTATTGCATGCTTCCCGCGTACACATGACGACCTCAGTGATATATGGATTTCTCTGTATATGAAGTCAACGATGGTAACAGTGCTCGTCAATGTCGTCGGTGCAAAAAGGTTATTTATCAACGGAATCCCTGGTCGCACTTTTGTTTGTCAATGTCAATCAGGCTGTCTAACGTTTTCACAACCTGCTTATGATGTGTAAGAAAAATATATTGGAAGATTCACTCGATTTTTTAGTTCGGTATTAACCAACGAAAGAAAGTGAACAAACCTGATGTAAGGGGCCGTTCAAGTTTTACGTAAGCAGATTTATTATAAATATTTACCCCCCCATCCCCCTTGTCAGCAAAAGTAAGCAAAGCTCTTACCCCCTTTCCCCATGCTTACGTAAACATTTGTCAATTAATGTATTGTTTTTTTTAATATTATAATTATAACGTTATAATTCTAATTTGAAAAATAAGAAAATAGATTTAGGATAGAGGTTATATTTTACTGATACGGTATTCAACATAGAGTAAAAGACAAAATATTATATCTTACTAACATAACAAACTTATTTTAAATTTTTGGTACCTATATTAAATTCAAATTAACAGTTTTCAGTCCATAAAACCCGAATCCATGATTCTAAGTTTTCGATGACATCGGATTGCTTCGATTGCTGCTCAGTGTTATGAGTTTGCTCGCTTTTATCGGATTTTGGAATGTCTACGTCGTTCTCATCGAGCCATTCAACATCATGGTGCTCTAAATTTTGAATAATGCACAGCAGTTCATTAGCACGACGAGCAGCGACTCTTATAGGTCTAACTTTCCTATCAGTTTGCGTGTTTACTTTTTTATGGATATTTTCGATGTAACAATTTAGTGACTTGACGGAAGCATGATAAAGACCACACGTTTTGCATTTTCGACTTGATAGCCTCAATTTTACCGTCGGACAAAAATAATCGTAGGGCATTTGCAGGAAATCTTTGAGTGAAGCACTCAAGCGTAGAGCTAAATTGACTGGAAGATTAAGAAATTGCCCTCCTTTAGCCAAAACCAAGTCATCAACTGTTTGTTTTACTTTTAGAGGTAGTGGAAGAAACCTATTGTCTAGTAATCTAAATAGGCCACTTCTTGGACGACAGCATTCTGTATTTCTACATTTTACAATTTGAAGCAAGTATTGGCTCTCACGCACATGTTCTCAATACCATTTAATGTCTGGAAAATCAGGAAGATCTTGTTCACCTGCCCCAACATATTTTGCATTAACATTATAGCCATCAGTTTCCATTGAACTCCATACTTCAGCTAATACATTTCCTGCAAATTCGAAATTAGATTTTTCTAAATGTTCATCAATTGTAACGCCACGTTCATCCAAATGAGACCCAAAATGGTCATGAGGCAATACTAAACCAGCCAGTTCCCGACTAAGAGGAGCCATTCTGCGCTCTACTCTGTTATACGCACTTTTTCCAGGAGCATTGGTAGCTAAAAACAATGCATCGAGATCATGTCGCTTAAAGTGTTGTATAGCAAACCCTATGACTTTTTGATAAAGTGGATTTTCATCTGGCTCACCATCAACCGTCATGATTACCACTGGTTTTACTAGTCCATGGTCATTTTAGCTAATGGTCAAAACTCTTCAAGTTCGAGAAGCGTCTCGAAATCCTAAGCATGAGTATTAGCAGTAGATGAACTATGCTTTCCACTTCGAATAGCGATGTATGTTGGTCCAGAATATCCAACGGCTTGCGGTTGTCCTAACATATTGGAAGTGATTTTGATACCAGCATAAACAGATGGTATTAATTTATGACGCTCAGCGATTACCCAATCGTGATCAGGCAATTTGATTCTATATTCCATGTGCATTAGAAGAGGTGGTTGATTATTTGCCGCAGTTACGCCAATAGGGACTCAAGCTTTATCATCTTGAGATATGAAAGATACTTGATCTGGTCCAAGTATGGATGCTATGTTCTCTAAATAATGGATTGATGTTTCAGCGAACTTGCTATCTAAGCGGCTCTTGTGGTGAGTTTGAGCCCGAATGAGCTTAACAGGGACTATCGATACATGTCTTCGTCCCTCTGCAGAATTAGATTTTCTGGGAATCAAACGAAGATATGTCCCTCTGCGACTAATGTCAAATCCTATTTTACGTAATTCTTGTGTGAGTTCATCAAGAGTTGTTACGCTGCGAATTGATTCCGTTCGTCTAAACCTATATCCGCGATTGTTTTCAATAGTGAATGTTGAATGCTTTGAAGATGAGGACGTCCCACTGAATCCCTCAGAGATAGTATTTTTTTTATTTCTGGATTTTCATGAAAAATATCTTCTAACTTTCTTTTCATACCATCCCTGTGTTTCTTCTGGGCAACTGCGTTTTGAACCTTCCTGTTTAAAGACTGTTTTGCTGCTTATATTTCCTCGCGCGACTTAATGATCTGTTTATCAACTTCAGCACGGCTTGGCATAGTATCTCTGGCAGAATGCAAAGCATTCGGTTTTTTTTCGAGTAGAGCAATCTTATTTTTCTTAGCTTCCTGAGAAGGTTTTGCTCTCTGTTTATCTGTATTTTCATTAATTTCGCATTAGTGTTGTGATTCATTACCGGGTTTTATTTTATCTTCTTCCTCTTTTTTAATATTTGACTGTATAATTTGTGTTTTTTCTGCAGGTTTACAGGTTGCCTAAAAATAAAAACATTCTATGGCTTCTGCTAAAGATTCTCTTATTAAGCTAAATAAATACAAAGTATGGCAATATATATATGGTAAATACAAAACCCTATGGCTTTAAATCTAATATGTTTAAACGAGCAATTCGTTCCGGTCACAAAATACAGGGTGTTAGTTTTCTGTATATATGTATAAAACTAACATCCTGTACTTTGTGACCAATTGACGGAATCAATCATAAGAAATAAATCTATAATATAATGAATATTACCTCTATACGTTGAGATAGGCCATAATATTTTCTAATCAGTAAAGAAAAACTTTTTGACGATTTCTCATATTTCTAGTACTCATAGGAACCTAAAATGATTTCGTCACTCACCTTAGAAAAAAATTTAGTAGATTGTATTTATTCTTAGTCGCCGCTTGCAATTCTTCTTCGATTCTCTTAGATACAATAATATCTAGTTTCTTTTCGGATTTTGCTTGTAGTTTGAAATTTCACCACACTTCGTTAACTAACTTTAAAACAATTTTTGGTATAACTTGGATTTGTCTTTGTAAAACGACATCTTATTTAAACATTAAACTTTGGCTAATGGAATCAATGGTAACACAAATGTTAACTTGCTTTACTATGCTTACAATACGTCTACTCGCTATAGTATCCAAACGAAACAATACACTGATAGAGGAAATTTAGACAAGTGAACACCGCGCGGTAATTCCCCTACTCGGTTCTAAAGCGAGTAGGGGAATTACCGCGCGCTGTTCACTAAACGAATGCATTATTTGCGGGAATCCCCAAAAATGCGTTTCGTTTTCAAGCAAAGACAATGTGAGGGTTGCCATTCGTGTAAGAAAGTAAATATTTACGGATGACGTAATCATCATCTAGACTCCCCTACCCCCCATGTCATCCAAAATAAGCAAAGCAAAGATCCCCCCGCCCCCCCCCCCCATAGTGCTCACGTAATACTTGAACGGCCCCTAAACATAAAACTTCATCAAACTATAAACACGTCAAACGTACTGGTGGTGGTAAGGTTAGTTGGTGGTGTGCCATTTAATAGAGATGGTTCTAATTTTTTGTTCGTCACCTATTATGACTGGATAAATTTAAGTTGGGTTGATCGTAAATTGTGCTGCTTCGAACTCCCTAGGCTGTATCAACGCTTTACAAATGTCCATTCCGTGACCTTGCGACCACAATGCCAATAAATTCAAGCCAGAAAAAGTCGATTCTTTGATTATGTCGAGCTTTTAATGATTTTCTTCATCAGGAAACACTCCAAAATGTTAACGTATGACCATTTCGATCAACTGTAATATCATTGAAACACTAGTTACAATATTGCAGGTTTCTTTCGAGACAAGCAATAAAAAAATGGAGAAAAAACAATAGTTAATTATAATAATATTTATTCTCCAAAATACAAAATTGCGTTAAAATGGGCAAATGAATATGAAGAATCCACAAAAGGCATTGCCAGTTACTATCTTACAAATATCATATGTGTATAACAAAATCGTTAATATTAAAAAATAATTTCTATATAATTTGAATTTTGCAGTTTTAGTTTTCTATATAATTATGCATTGACATTCGCTGCACAGTACACACACACACACACACACGCACGCACGCACGCACACACGCACGCACGCACACACGCACACACGCACACACGCATACACGCACACACGCAAACACGCACACACGCACACACACACGCACACACGCACACACCCGCCCACACACACACACACACACCCGCACACACACACACACACACACACACACCCGCGCACACACACACACCCGCACACACTCACCCACACACACACACACCCGCACACACACACACACCCGCACACATTTATATACACCTATACACATATATACGAGTACATATATACATACATGGTGACTTCGAAGTTGAGTCATTTATTTTAACAGTGAGTAGATCTGATCAAAAGAAATGTTCTTTTCCTTTCACATTTTTCTGGTAAAATTAAAGTAACAAAGTTATAGCCCTTTAGAAGTTTGAGTACCGCCCTGTCTCAGTAATAATATTATGTGCTCGTGTTTGGCAACAACGGATATAATCCGCCTTATCGGTTCATCGCATCGGAAACAAAAAATCGAAAGAATTTGAAACGCTTATCACGATGTTTTTAGTTGTATTCAGTCAATGTGTCAGTCGGTAACGCGTGAGTGAATAGTGGTGTACGTTGTGTGGCTCAAACGAAATAAAAAATGGCACATGTTTACGAAAATGGTGAACGTGTGGACATGATTCTCATCTACGGGGAGGGGAGTCTTTCCGAAATGCTGCCGCGGCATCACGGATTTATGCGGATCGGTTTCCCAATCGAGTGCAACCAACCCCTCGTGCCTTTGTTAATGTAGTACAAAGGGCTCGTGAATCAGGTGACTTAAGACCTCACAGGGGAGGGCATGCCGGTGCTCCAAGACCGAACGGCCAAATACAGGTCCCCACTGAAATACTTGTCAGAAGGGTACTTTATAAAACAAGGTAACATTTTTTTTTATTTTTTTTTATTTTTACACACATATCTTCCTTCTACAATCATTATCTGAAAATTAATGACTCAGCTTCAAAGTCACCCTGTATATATTCATACAAATAAACACATAAATAGATGCACACATACACACATATACGAGTACATGAACGTTGGAGGATTTTTATTATTACATTAATTTTAAATTTCTTTCATACGTATGTTTGCAATTTGATGTCGATTTTTTTCAATTATAAATTTTTTGGCTTCAATTTTGAATTTTTTTTATTTGAAATATTTCTTATATAATTTGGTAATATGTTATAAAATCTACTGGAAAGGTAAGTATGACATCTTTGGCCTATGAATGAATGAATCTTGAAATTAGAGGCATTCCGGCCACCATAAGGAGCCAGTACATAGGCCGCTTAAGCGTGCCCTTATGCACCTCTACAATCCTTAGATCACAAGCCTCGCCCTTTTAGCAAAGTTGAGAATCACCTTGAGTCCAAGCTCCTTGACGTCCTGAGGGTCCAACGTAATGGACCCCAGTATAGTCTGCCTATAGTAGCTCAGAACTTCACAGCGACACAAAACGTGCGCCGAGGCCTCTTCCTCTACTCGGCAGCGTTCACACAAGGGATCCTCAGCCACCCTCATCACGTTCAGGTGACCCCTTAACGTGTTATGGCCAGACAACAGTCCCACCAGCAACCTTAGGTTGGCTCTATCCAGAGATAGGCAGAAGCGTCCAACCTTAGCCCTGGGCCCTTCAATGAGTTCCCGTGCCTGGCGGAGATGTCTGGAGATACTTTTCCATTTCTGAGAGTGTTGTCTTGCCACCCACGTCTCCATTTTCCTCCTAGCTTTATGCGCGGTCACTCCTAGAGCTGGCTGATCCTGTCTTCGCCAGAGTGTCCGCCGTCTCATTGCCCCTTATCCCAGCGTGCCCCGGTACCCATATTAACGACACCGGATGTACGAAGTAATCTTACAGGTGCTTTCATTGCAGCCTGGCTGCCGGATAAGGTTGTTATTCTTCTCCTAGGCCCATCCTCCTCCAGAATGTGAGATACACAAGCCAGAATCGCAAAGATTTCCGCCTGGAAAATAGTGGTGTATCCACCGAGAGGCAGAGATAGCCTAGTTCTAGGCCCAGAGACTCCAGCACCTGAGTCCTCTTCGGTGACCGAGCCGCCCGTGTACCAGACCTGCCCGCTCACTCCGGAGAGTCGCCGGCTACCGGCGTCCCACTCCTCCCTCGTTGGATACACCACAATAAACTTGCGGTTGAAGCGATATTTAGGGGTAATACGATCACTCCTGCTTAGAAGGACGGGGTCCTCCCTTTGTAAGTCGACTAAGATGGCAGTATGCCCCTTGACAGGATTCAAGAAAGCCCAGCTGCCCTGACTCCACAGTCGATGAGCGACTACTCTCGCTTCACCGCGGATCACCAGATCCAACAGTGGGAGATCCAACAGAGCTTCCATTGCACTCAATGGCGTTGTTCGCACTGCGCTTGTAATACTAATACAGGCCAAACGCTGAATTTTATTGAGTTTGGCCTTAGTTGTCTCAGTTCTAATGCAACGCCACCAGACCAGGGAGCCGTACAAGAGAGACGGACGTACTATGGTCGTGTAGAGCCAGTATACCACTTTGGCTTTAAGCCCCCACCTAACTCCCACAACTCGTCTACAAGCCCACATCGAATTGCGAGGCTTGCTAACCTTGTATTCAACATGCTCTCTCCAGTTCAGTTTGCAATCCTGGATAATTCCCAGATATTTCACTGACTGGGACAAAACTAATCTAGTCCCAAAGAAGGTCGGCATGACCATCCCCTCAAGCCTTCTTCTCCTAGTGAATAGGATCAGCTAGGTCTTTTCAGCATTAACAGAAAGATCGACTTCCATACACCACGATTCCACGGAGCGCAGAGCGCCCTGCATAATTTCCGAGACTGTTCTACAAAAACGCCCCCTAACTACTATGGTTACGTTATTAGCATAGGCGTGCACGTAGACACCCATACTGCTGAGCCTAACGAGGAGTTCGTTCACCGCTCTCACACCACATTCACATAACATACAAATATAACTAAAACTAACATAGCTATACGTAAATAAACTGAATTTAGCCACAGAAGAATAAATTCTTGTGCGTGGGTATTAACTTACATTTTTACATGTTTACATAAATATACATATGCACACACGCACACCCACACCCACACCCATACCCACACACACACACACGCACACGCACACCCACACCCACACCCACACCCACACACACACACACACACACACACACACACACACACACACACACACACATTTATATACACCTATACATATATATACGTATATATATGTGTACATATATACATATATATATTCATACAAACACATAAATAGATGCACACATACACACATATACGAGTATATGAACGGAGGATTTTTATTATTACATTAATTTTAAATTTCTTTCATACGTATGTTTGCAATTTGATGTCGATTGTTGCCTAATGTCTAATAGTTTTAAATGGTATGGTATTATTATTATTATTATTGTTATATTCAGTTCAAAATAAGCATTTCCGAAGGCTCGATATGTACAAGGAACTTTTTAGTCTAATCGATTACTGGTATGTTGTCTAATTCATCAATCATTCAACCAACCTGCTTTAGAGAGCAATTCCCACCAGAAGAATATGAAGTAGCAGAAAAAGTGCCAGAAGTAGATAACAAGCCATTTACAAAACTTGAAAACAGTCTGGAGCTAACAAAAAGTAACTCTCTTTTGGACCAAATGCATAGTGCCACCCAACATGAATCTCCCTTACCAATCGAATCTCCGTTACCAGCAGAGGCTACAAGAAAGGTAATTGTCGAAAGCTATACTCGTATACAGATAAATTGTACATTCTGAAATACTGCCAGCTAAGCAATACGGATTCAGGAGAGGATACAATACTGCACTCGCGTATTAGACTTAACAGTACATTTATCAACATCTTTAGTCCTCTTAGAGTCTACAAAATCATTTAACACGATAAATTATTCAATGTTATTAGCTAAATTTAAATATTACGAACTCTTCAATTGGTATGGTCCATAACAAGATCTCAAAAATATGTTATTGATATGAACTCATCGCCAAAAGCTTCCTCGGGAGTGCCCCAAGGAACAGTGCTTGGACCAATCCTTTTTCATCTTTACATAGGTAGCCAATCTGAACAAAGTGGTAGAATATTGCAATATATTATTTGTCGATGATTCTCAATTATACAAAAAATTCAATAATGACAAAATTATAGCTCTAAAATAAATGAGGATTTAATTGCTATCGATAATTACGCAAAGTCACAACCTCCGTTTAAATCCTACAAAGTCTAAAGTTTTCATATTTTCTCAAAAAAAAATAAGGAAATATATTAAAAGATGTACAAACATCAGTCATATTACTAAAAGTTGCTTTTCAGTCCTTCGCCCGTTATACTTCAGTAAAGAAATTTTATACTATAAAACTAAGAAAATTATATGCGAATCATTGATCGTTTCAAAAATTACTTATTGCGATATTGTTTACCATTCATTTTTAGATTCGGTATCTATAAAACTTCGCAAAAAATTCAAAATTCTTGCTGTACTCGTGGATTAGTAGAAAACTTGAAAAAGTACGACCATATTTCGATAACTATTCAAAAACTAGGTTGGTTAAATGTTTCAAAATTATATAAATATCACTTACTATGTTATGTTCATATACTCTAAATCACCTCATTACTTCCGTTTTTAAAGGAAAATCTAATAAACCGTACCCGCTTCCCAAATACACTCACCATACCTATTCATAGAACTTCATTTTTCCATAAAGGCTTCATTTTTAATGTGATATATCTATATAATTCATTATCCCCTGAAATTAAATCTGTGGCATTTGATAACTTAAAAAAACATATCCAGAATCTGATTTTACAGTTTAAATTAAAAGTACTTCTCTTTTACTTCACTGTTAATAAATATAATATTTTACTCAGTTATCAGAGTAATTACATTAAATATGTACACGTACTATATAACACCTTTGTTATATTATGAGTCTTATTTTCATTTATCTATTTTGTTCAGGTTTGTATTTATTTTTGTATGGATTAAGTGGAGGAATAACTTAAGCTAAACTTAGCCAAAATAAAAAGATGCTTATTATTATTAACTAATGTGTCAACTGCTCGGAAAGTCTTATTGAAGGTACAAGACAGTATTGAAAGTCCAGTAGGTACCTATAATTATCTGACTGCATCACTTCCACCACATGTTGAAACGTTTACCACTCATCATCTCGTGTATTACCCACATATTAAGACAGTGGCAATGAACATAGGTTTGGAAATGGATAACGAGTTAAGGCTAAGGTGGAAAAATGCACCCAACGACACTTGTTCGGTTGAAGTTTTTGTTCCCACACCGCCATATTCTGCCAAGTAGATGAAAGATTATTCTCACTGACCTTCTAGTTTTGTCCCTATTCAATTACTGCGATGTCGTGTGTGGACTGGGAATGAATTCAGAAAATCCATGTCATGTCTCAGGTTCATATTCGGCATCCGCAAGGTTGTCAGGATATCACACAAGCTAGAGGAAGTTAGTTGGCTAAATATGGTCTTTAGATAAAAAGTTCTTTCCGCAACATTATTCTATAAAATTGTCTTTACCTAAACGTTTCCATATTTATGGAATAGGATAAAATTTAGACATGATGACCATAATTTAAATATACACAGTAAGTGGTGTCTCTCCCCCTCTACATCGAATTTCTGTATATTTGAGAGTTCATTTACATCTAATAGTTGTAGAATATTTATTTTAAGAAGCTATCTTTCAAATCATTCAAAGTCAACTAGAAATTGAAAAATGAAATAATGTACGTATATTATATTAATTAGCATTATAATAAACCTTCAACAATTAGTATGGCAGAAGCAATATCCTCCGTCACTGTTTTTCTATTTTTGTCTACACTATTCAATCTCAACCATTTATATATTTTTTCAAGAAGCTTCGCTTATAATTCACTTACTATTATGTATATATTGATAACTTTTAGTTTTGCAGTATATTACGAGTATATAAAATGTAGGTATACGTATTTTCACACCATAATGCTAATTATTTTTTCTCTGTTGGGTCAGCACCTGTATCAGCTTTTCTGTATGTTTTCCCTTTTTGCAATTACATTTATTTTTTAAATGAGTTATTCCCATGAGTGCTTGTAATTGTCAATAAATTTGTTTATGCAGGTCAATGGAAAGAAGAAATAGATACGCCATTGTCAAAATTATCGCATCCTACAAGTTCTAATCGCTTACGTCCTGTAAATTTACTTCCAATCTTGTCTTAGGTAGTATTCATGTAAGTGAAGGGTAATCCATCTGTTGGTTAATTTTTAAATGGAGGGTTAAAATGAAAACGCAGTGTCCTTTTTCCAAACGAGTATTTTTTATTTGAGATTACTATCCCTTCGGTTAATGATGAAACAATATCATTCATATGCACGCCACGGCTGAGCTTGAACCAGACTGTCGACCGAATTTTTCAGTCGATTTTCCAAAGTCTTCGATATTGTGTCACCAATGGCTGCATGAATGTTGATATTCAAGTACTTAATCGACGCTGGGGCATGCACATAGCATTTATCTTTTACGCTTCCCCACAAAAAATAAATCAACGGAGTTAAATCGAAGCTTCGCGGTGGAGAAGTCACATCACCAAAACGGCTGACTACGCGATTTTCTTGAAGAAGAGCGATTGTTTCGCGTGGTGGATGCATTGGCTTTTAGGTAATTTCATTTGGTTATTCTAAGCATCAAATATGGCAATTTTGCTTATTGCCGTAGCCACCAAGATGAAAATGGGCCTCATCCGAAAAAAATGATTTTTCGGTAAAAATGGGGGTCCTCGTCCAACCGTCTAATTTTGTGCGTTTCCCAACGTTGTCCAAGCGTATATCGATCCATATTTGTTCACAGCAGACTCTTTACTAAATTCCTGCCAAAACAGAACTGATGTAAGGCAACACTTACACTGTGACATAAGCCCTAGTTCAAAAATCAACCAACAGATGGATCAGCCTTTCGAAGATTATTTAAAAATTTTCATGTCCAGACTGCCAATCAGGTTTGAGGTCAGGTCATAGTACTATTTCAGTATTAACTCGAGTAACAGATGACCTCACTGTTGGCGTTAGATAAAGGTTTAACAACATTCCTAGTTCTTTACACACCAGAATCATCATCAAATGTTCTGGAGTACCTCAAGTTTACGTGTTTACCATTTATTATTTCTGTTATGTTCAAAATTGCAAAGTACAATATTATGTTGGTAATGCCCAAATTTATTGCGGTTTTGACTTCTATGATCCCTATCTAGCGGCTATTAAAATTAATGAAGATTTGGTTAATACAGTCTACTCTCAACATCGTCATTCTAAAACTCAAGCACAACTATGTTCTTCCAGTACTACGAGAAATTAGTTCGGATGTTTTCAACATAAATTGTTTATAATTTCATATAAAAAATCAAGTTTGTATCCTCTACGAGTTTCTGCGTAATTAAAAAATAATGTTTCATTACCTCAATCGACACCACCTCAATAGGTGTGTACTTACTGCAACGTACCCTCTCCTACACTTAAATACTTATAATAGTTGGAGCCTTTGCTTATCTTCTGCTGAACAACAATTCGGTAACTATAAGGAATAATTGGAATGTGGATATACATACGAGGGATGTCTTTTAAGTTTTGCATATGGAAATAAAACAACACGGTAGGTAGTTTTAAATGACTTTATTGTTTTTCGAAGTATTCTCCTCTCTCCTGGAAGATAATTACACATCTGCATGTGCTCGAACCAATTTTCGAAGCACTTATTCCACTCGTTTGCTGGCAGATCCAAAACGGCATTTTTGAATGCGTCAACTGCTTCTTCTGGTGACTGGAACCTTTGACCACGCAGTCTGTTTTTAATTTTCGGGAAAGTAAAGAAATCGTTAGGACTTAGATCGGGACTATATGGTCCAATAATTCCACGTTTTCTTCCGCTAAATACTGCTTGTTTTTTGGGCTGTGTGCGAGCTTGCATTGTCTTGGTGGAGGATGATTCTTCTTTCGGGGTTGATTTTTTGAAGCTCGGTGATGACTTTTAGCAAACAAATGGTGGTATACCAATCCGCAGTAACAGTTCTTTACTCATTAAGAGGAATTGTTGCAATATGACCCGCTTTTGACACAAATGTCGCGACCACCTTTTTCGAAACACTTCGAGAACACATGACTTTTGTTGGCTTTTCTTCACATTGGACCACCCAAACAGCTGACTGTCGTTTATTTTCTGATTCATAACAGTAAATCGACGATTCATCACCACTAACAATGCTGAACACATTTTTTGAGTTTCTGGAATTGAAACGGTCAAGCGTTTTTTGACACCAATTAACGCTGGTTGCTTTCTGCTCTTCAGTCAACAGGTGGCGTATCCAACGAGAAACTAATTTTCTCACTCCTAATTCTTCATGCAAATTTTTTTGAATTGAGGTCTTTGAGATCTTCAAGGACGCCTCAATCTCGCGATATGTCACATGTCTATCTTCAATGATGAGTTTGCGCACAACATCGACGTATTCCTGGGTGACTGCCTCACCCGTCCACGTTTGAATTCTCCATACCAACGGGAAATTGTTGACTGATGTGGCGCTTTGTTCCCGAAAACAGACAGTAACTCAGCAAGGCATTCTTGTTGAGATAATTGTCTCTGAAAGTTGTAATAAATTATGGCGCGAAAATGTTCTCGGTTGAGTTCCATTCTTCTAATGACTTGGTGACACTTAAAAATTCACTGTGGTGAGAACACTGCACGTATTGTTGTGAAACGTTGAATTTAAGTTTACTAAAGAGTGAGGTTAAGATTCAGTACTGACGTTCGATCCGCGCGGCCTACTATGTTTCTATATGCAAAACTTAAAAGACATCCCTCGTATTATATATTTTTTACACCATGGAGGTATTGTGGATAAAATTCATTTTGCCGAAATATCCTAGTATTTATTTACACATCGGGTTGCCAGCACAAACCAGTGCTATCATATCTCCTTTTTATCTGGTGAGGATGCTCAAATCAATGGTGTCACCCGTGCAAATCTATTCTGATTTGTGTGAATTGGCAAACTGAAACTGGGAGAGGGTGAAATTAAATACCAAAATTCTTCATGAGGTAGGTAACATCAAGCCAGTGTTGCTCTTTATACTACGTGTGGTGACCGGCTTTGTAATACTAGTGGCAACATACTGTATAACTTTCAGTGGTACCAGGTAGGTACAAAAATAATTTTTTTCTGTTCTCTCCAGACCATACCTATTGCAGAAACCATTCCTTATGAACCAGACAATTTAGAAGTGCAAGAAAGTAAAATAGTAGTTCGAAAAGATTCGATCCAATTAACTCATGACAGATCGGAGATAAACTGGCTCGGCAGCAGAAAGTTTTCAGAACTGCAGAAAGACAAGCAATGTTATGAGCAGTTAGAAGAAAAAGTTGCAGACCAGTGTGGGAAAAGAGGTGATACTTGGTGTATTCGTATAATTAAAAACGATTTCCAGATATACCTAAGATAATTCAAAATAGTTCATTAAAGTTGAGCGGGCGCGCCAAGGAACATACACAAAAGCTCCTTCCTACTTATTTCTGAACAGATCGTGCAATGCATTTATAGATATATAGAGGTGATACTTGGTGTATTCGTATAATTAAAAACGATTTCCAGATATACCTAAGATAATTCAAAATAGTTCCTTAAAGTTAAGCGGGCGCGCCAAGGAACATAAACAAAAGCTCCTTCCTACTTATTTCTGAACGGATCGTGCAATGCATTTATATATACCATATATTATAACGGTTGAGCGCCATCTTGGAGCATTTTTTTAATTACGTTATATCCCCAGAATGATAATTTGCTATCTTTCAGCATGGAAGACTGACGGGGTGTCAAAAATAACCATTTTTGAACATTGAGTCGCTTATAACACGATATACATAGTTATATAAACTTTCTTTCGATAATATGGAATATAATGTGAGACAATCAGTTAAAAAATCGATAGATATTGAAATTTTGGTTTAAATGGAATCTTCCATTTTAAAACATATTCGGATCTATCAAGAGAAGAATATTGAGAAAACGTACAACAGCAGTGTGATGATTAGTTTTTGAGCTACAAACGTTTAACTTTGACAGCCTGCCATCGCTAGCGTATCCGGAAAAAAGTGAGGCTTGTGGGCGGATCCAGCGTTTCAGTTAGGTAGGGTCAATTGGTTTCACTGTAGCATAAAAGGAAGCATTAGCCGCCCTGAATACGCCAGTGCCTGCCAGTTCGTCATTTTGGAAGTTACCTAGTAATTTCATATTCTAGGGTTATAAAGTACTAAAAAGAGGCCAACAGTTCTATTTAAAAAAGTTCTAAAATCGTATTCAGGCTCTCACTCTCTCTAAATTTTCAACCTCCACTTTTACACTAAAACATACAGGGTGTTTTATAAAGACGTGCCAATATTTCTAGGGTAGGAAGTACATCCAAACATAACAAAAGAAGTTCCTATAAATAAGGGTCCAAAGATGCTCCCCCTAGGGTGATGAAGTTTTCTTTATGAAATTGAAATAAAATTATATCTACTAATTTTCCATAAATTTTGTGTCTTAAGGAAGTTTTGTCAGATCACTCGTTTTTGACTATTTGAGGTAAAATCCTAAAATATTCTTATGTAAAGGTTTAAACTCCCCTATTATGAAAACAAGAAAGCTATGGTACCTCATTACAACATTAATTGATTAATATGCGTGTATTTTCCTCAATTAGTAGCGTAGAAGCTTACCATTCATTAAACATTTCCAGTGCATGCCAGTGGTTTTGCCGGAATATTCATTTTTGTTTATAGATGAAACTTCAAAACAAAGGAAACGTTTATAAGCTAACAAGAATTAAACACGACAACAATAAACATTGCATTTGATACAATTTACGTTGTTAATTCGAAATTTACCAGGACACGACATTAGGAACAAAAAATAATGCTGAATAAATACTATAACATCCAACCTAAGGAGGTGTTGAAAGCGACCACCTCTGGATTCAACACAAGCCCGTGCTCTACGCCACAAAGATTCTCTAGCTCTTTGGAAAGTAGCTGGCGAAGTACAAAAAGGCCGATAATTTCAGAAGTAAGATAATAAGAATTTGACTCGTATTGATTGGTTCCACAATTACTAGCTGTGATTTAAGACAAACAGTAGAACCTAACATGGTAATAACAGGTGAAGTATACCATGAAAACCAGTGGAGTGCATAAACAAGGTTTAATGAATGGTAAGCTTCTACGCTACTGATTGAGGTAAAGACAAAGACACGCATATTATTCAATTATGTTTCGGTCTCGTCGTAGTAGTACCTCGCCCCGCCCTACCTTCCAACTCTCTAGCCGTCTATAAACGAGCCAAAGCGTTAACATGTCAATCGGGTTCGCGCACCGATTTTTGCGTTTTCAGCAGGGTCACCATCAGGTAATTGTCGAATAACCGATCTGTTTTAGAATCCAGTTAGGTGAATGTTAGTATTGATGCCTCACCGGCGTTGCAGACTGTGCCTGACATGACGTTTGGGATAGCGTTCTGACACTGTTGCTTGGAACAGCAACCTGGACCTAGCTTATGATAGCCAACTCCATACCAAGGACTAACAAAGACGTTTGGGATAACGCTGAAATATTGGGCTCGGTTGCTTGGGATAGCAACATGGACCTAGCTTGTGGTAGTCAGCTCCACACCAAGGACGAATGAAGACGTTTGGGATAACGACTCAACACTGAACTCCGTTGCTTGTGATGGTAACTTGTACTTAGCTTGTGATGGCTAAGATCATACGACAAATAACTACACTGAAAGCATTTGGGACAACTTAGCAACAAAGTATGGTCAACAATCTCTTCTCATTTGCTTGTGATAGCAACTTGCACCTGGTTTGTGATAACCATTAAACAGGACTGTAAGTTTGAAGATGGCAGGTTGGGAAATCGTTAAAGTATGTTTTTTCCTTATTACCAGGTAGAGATTAAGTATCTTATGCGAGGTTAGCCTTACATTTTGCTTGTGATAGCAAATTTCATCTGGTTTGTGATAACCTTGGAACAGTATTGTAAGAATGCTCCTGACAGTTTAGGAAACCGCCGAAATACCATTTTTCATGAATAACAGATAGGGATCAGGTTTTATCTATGTGAGACTAGAGTTACATTTTGCTTGTGATAGCAAATTCCACGTGGTTTGTGATAACCAGGGAACAGGTCTGAAATTATGAACATGTCAGGTTAGGAATCCGCCAATGTATATCTTTTTCTTATTACCAGATAGCGAATAGTCACCTTATGCGAGGTTAGCGTTACATTTTGCCTATGATAGCAAATTCCATCAGGTTTGTGATAACCTTGGAACATGATTGTCAGAATGCACATGACAGTTTAGGAAACCGCTAAAGAACCATTTTTCGTTAATAACAGATAGAGATTAGGATTCATCTATGTGAGACGAGCGCTAGATTTTGCTTGTGATAGCAAATTACATGTTGTTTGGGATAGCCATCGAACAGGTCAATAATATGCACATGACAGGTTACGAAACCGTCGAAGGGCTATTTTTCATTATTAACACATAGAAGTTAGGTACTTCTATGGTAGATTAGCATTACATTTTGCTTGTAATACCAAATTCCACCTGGGTGGTGATAACTATGGAACAGGACTGTACGTATGAACATGACCGGTTAGGAAATCACAAAGTACTAATTTTCAGCAATAGCGAAGATTAGGTATCATTATGCCCGATTAGCGTTAAATTTTTCATAGGTGGCACTCGAACCGTAGTGCGCTCTGGATTGTGATGACTTGAAGGCCATGGATTCTGTTTCAATAGATGACGCATCACCACAATGATGCTGCGACCTTAGTATAATTAATGTTCGCGCATTGTTCCAAGGCTGGCATTTCGAGGGCAGGTCTTGTTGATGACGATAGATGAATAAATTCTGTTCTATTCTAGCCACCTAAAGTGAACCCTGAGGCGGCCGCTGTAATAGAAATTGTCGCACGCAGGGATGCGCGCTTGGTCTCTGTAGAGCAACATGTGAGTTATTCATTAACTGCAAGTAGCAATACTCTCTCCTCTAGGTTCAAAGAAGATTGAGGGGCGCATGCTGGCAGATATTCACATTTAACAAAGAAGTCAGGAGTACTCTAAAAGAGGCTTTCATTGATAACTGAGTTTGTATTTAATCGTTGTGGCACGACGTGCATAAACAGTTGCCCATTGAAAATGCTGCACCAGACATCTCTAGAAAATCTGTGTTGAAACGAGTGGTTTCTTCAAGAACGGGGATTTTCTAACGATCAAATATGTTCATTGTGAGAATTAAAGGTTCCACTCCTCGTAAAAACCGATTCATCTGACCACAAAACCAAATCAAAACCTGCATTCTGATTATGCATTTGCAGTAACCAATCACAAAAATTTCGCCGTTGCACTTTGTCGCCGAGTTGCAGACATTGTACATTTTTCCGATGGTAAGGATGTAAAACTTCCCGATTTAAGATTCTCCACGGGAACATGGTAAGTGGGCTGCAATCTGCCTAGTAGTAGGATCATCCAACGCCAAATTAATCACTTCCGTTTCCTCTTGAACAGTATGCCGGATACCATGACCTCTAACTCCGGGAAGTTTGGCAATTCCATATTGCTAGAAATCAACGTGTAAAAACCTTTGGGGTAGGTTGGCGTTTGTTAGGAAATCTACGTTGATACTTCCGAGAAGCCGCTAAAGCATTTCCATTACAGAACCCGTACACAATAATAATATCGACGTACTCATCATTGCTAAATTCCATTTCACAACACTCAAAAATGGAAAAAAGAAACTTTTGACTTGACTTTTATAAAAAAAATGGTAGTAGTAACGATAACAACCGTATACTACATAACTTTGACAAACTATCTCACAAGAAACGTCAAGTTCGTATCAAGGCCTCCTATTTTATTTTGAAACTAACTGTATCTCAGCTCTTCTTGAATGATCTAATTTGTTTTATTTTTGTTTTTACGAAAACAGTGCACCCTAGGAAAAATACAAGAGAAATTATTCCTAGCAAATTGAAGGTAAAACTCGAAAAATTGTGCGTTTCGAAAAAAAAAACATTGGCGTACTATTGTAATTTGGAAAAATAATGCCACTTTCCCCCTGTATCTCCGCCATTGGTGCACGTTAATTTTGAGTTGACTTTTGAATGTGGACAATACGTAGGTAAATCCACATACCAAATTTTAGTTTATTCCGGTTGACGGTTTTGAGGATATTAAAAAAATGTTTTTTTTTAAACTTCAACACGCCGTATTTTTTTAATGAAGCCTTCGAGGAAAAAATGTTGCATAGACGACCCTCCGTAAGATGCGGTCCTGTGTATGATGTTTTATTTTTGGTAACGACTTGTAAATCACCCTGTATAAATACACTTCTCAAAGAAATTAAGTGAGCAAGAAAAAAAAACAAATTTTTCGGTGGTTTGTGACAGGCTGTATTTCGGTGGAAATGCCCGAATCTAGACTCAAAAAAGTGCATTTTGATGCTTCAAAACTCTAGTATTCAGGTTTTTTAACCGAAAGATTATAGAAGCAATGGTCCTCGGGCAAATCTAACAGATAGCGCAAGACAAAATGTTCCAAAATGTTTGCCCTCTTTTTAGTACACGGGCATGAACAATTTCATCATTTAATCAGGTTCAATATCCCGTGTTTAGAATCTTTGAATGGACAAGGATCCTTTTGTGATGGAGCACTGATATCTCGGTAACAAATGATTGCACAGTGAATGTAATGGAATTTCTGAAAAGATTTGTATTGGTTTCCTGTCGTGTTGATCTTAAGAAATTAAAAAAAGACACTTTTTGCCTTGCCATCTTTGGGACTGCTAATGAAGAGGTCTTTAGGTTTTTTTTGATTCACCAATGTATCCCTAATACCCTCGCACCATGGCAAATCGATTCATTGTACTGTTTCTCCGAACCGCCTATGAGACACCCAAAAAAATAATGTTTCAGTACCTATTGGTTAACATTTGACAAAAATCAAAGGAGCAAAATTTTTGTATCATCCTGTAATCTGAATGAAAATGGAAAAACCATTTTTCTTCTTTTGTTGTCACTATTGGATATCTGTTACACCTTAAATTTCAAAAATGCAATTATTGGAAAAATTTCATTCTTTTATTAATGGAATATTCCAACAAACAAAAATACTGACCAGGGGCGGATCTGGAATATTTTTTTGGGGTGTTTCAAAGGCGGATTTAGGAATTTGTCGGTCCGGAGAACACATATTGAGATATAAGAAACCTAAAAGCATTAGCCTTCTCCTTAGCGGTCCCAAAAATGCGGTCGATTTTCCAAAAAAAAACGCACAAAGAAACTTTTTTGACTCTTTTAAAATCAAAGGAAACAAAAAAAAATCCTCAATAATAGAAGTAAAATATTATTGGAGATTCATTACAGTTTTCGGAAATACCCTTGTATTCTCTGTGCGACTATTAGTTATCGAGATATCAATAGTTGATGACAAAAGGATTCTTTTACATTCAAAGTCAGATAATTCCGCGAAAACTGATCGTATCGAGGTTTTAAAAAACAGAATATTGAAGCTAAATAAACGGGCTATCTGATCCATATGGATTATGGCCTAAATGATACTGTTTCAAACCCGTGGCCTGGAAAGAGGAGGGCAAAAATTTTGCAAAAAAATGTTCTTGTGCGATCTGTTAGAATTGTATGAGAACTGTTGCTCCTAAATTTTTCAGGTAAGAAACCTGAAAGCTAGAATCTTAAAGCTTGAAAATGCTTTGTTAAAGTCTAGATACGACCATGTTTAACCAAAATACAGTCAAAGATCACCGAAAACATTTGATTGTTTTCTTGCTTCCTTATTATTTTTTTGAGTAGTGTAAATTCGACAGCAATTGAAACAAACTAAGATATTTTCAAATACTAAAAGGTGAACACCAACAGGAGGCTCCATTTCTTATGTTAGTACATCATTTCTCACTTTACTGACATTAAAAATATGAATGTTTGGTTAACTGTTTTAATTTACCCACTTTTAGTATTTTATCATAGAAATTTAAAACCGCTGACAGCTTAATTCTTGGAATCACTATGAGGCCTCCTCCTATCCATTTTCCTGGAGGAGGCCTAGTCCTGTCAGCCCTATTGATGTAGCGTTTTTCTGGGTTATTTTGGATGTGGATTAATGACACTCGATTCCACAAGAAGAAATGTACTAATTTACTTAAAACACAACACAACTAGCTTTAACTTAACTAGCTAGAACATTTATGTACACCACTATTTATGTCTGACTACTTATTTACGAATTATTATGTCGCGTCATTCACTCAACTCTGCTTCCCTCTCTCGGCCGTCGGCTTATATATTCCTCATCGCAGGTACTCGTTAGTTCGAGAAGGTTCCGGTACGCCACATAGCGGCAGTCCAGAACCTTCGGGGCCATTCTTGTTTCATTAATTTAGTACCTTTATCACAGAAAGACATCAATCGATTAGCGGCAGCATGGCAACAAACGCGAACAAATTAGTAAAGAAGATATCTTTTTCTGCGAAGACTTGCAGATGTACTAATCCGAGATGCGACTGTTACAATGTAATTTCATCAGGAAATTCAAATGAATACATAGAATCCAAAACAGCAGTAACGGACCTTGAAGACGAAACAACTTACATAGGAGGATCTATTAGTAGGGAAGTCTCTAAAGAACGTATGCTGGTAGGTAAAACATATTTGAGAAACTTTAACTCGGGAGACTCTTTTAAAAGAATCAGAAAGGGATTTTGGAGAGCCTCACACTCTGAGAACACGTGATTATTTAAACGATTAAACGATTGTTCTGGAAAATCTTCTTTATCCGTTATAAGATGTTCAATTATTTCAGGTAACTAAATTATTCGGTTCAATTATACTGAATTTTCTGGAACCAGTTTAATCGAAAGTGATATACTATTGAGCTAATTTGCTTGAAAATATGAAACCATATAACTGTTTTATTAAACTGTTTAATCTGATTAGGTAATTTAGTTTGTATAGAAGAGGTAGATTCAAATCAATTAAACATTTTAATAATAACAGATAAACTGACGCTGTGTTGGTGTCGCGCCTCGAACTCCTCAGTTTCATTTGTGATTTTCGCGTAGAGCTCCACATTCGAAATCGAGTGAAATATTCGAGCTAAGTGACCCATAACCATGGATAGATTATTTCTCGCTGCCAATGAAACACTCTGTATTGGAGAGTCACTGCTGACTTTACTGAATGAGAAGAACTTCGAAATTTCATTTATGCAGCCATATTTAAGTCAATGAAGGGCATTTATACGAAACATGTACTTAACATAGGCTTGATGTGCTTTTCTCTTATATTGTATAATGTGTAGGAGGTGGAGCCTTCTGTTGATGTAGACTTTGTAGTATATGAAAATATCCTAGATTGTTTGAAGTACAATATTGTTTTATTTTTAGAAATAAATACAATTTTTGTACACATGATCAAGTGGCCTTATTCAGTTGCAGGTATCCATTTACCTACTTTCTGAATTTAAAACAAAGAATTGCTTTTAGTGAATGGTGATATACTATAGCCTGTTTTTGAATAAACAGAGAAATCATTGATAAAACTTGATCCCAAATATAATAACTTCGAAGTTTTTATTTTGATACGAAAACATCAACTATCAATATCAAGTTCTGACAGACTACAGTTGTAATACTCGTAAACATCATTGAGTAAAATGCAATTTGTTCTTTTAAATTCCAAATAGATATTTTCCTAATGTCCTTTTAAATCATTATTGTCATTGTCACTTCATTGTGACTTGCCTTATTGCACTGAATCCGCGTATACCTCGAGAAAACTGTTGAAATATTTTATTACTCCCTACTGCAACTATTGTTGCGGTGCAGCTCCGTTGATATTCTTGGAGGATAACAGATTTTCCAGTGGCAAACATTTTTTCGGCCAATACAGCGAAGAATTTTTTGGGTACTCCATGAATAAGAAAAAAAAGAAAACTGCTGAGATTGCTTCAGCTACGTCTGAGAGTGCAAAAATGGTGGTAACCAAACCAAGTGATGCACCAACGGAAACGCCTAAAAACAGTAAGTGCCTTAGAACAACAAATGAGGAGCTAAAACAGGAAATAAAAATAGATGAAAAAGTTAATTCATACAGCCAGTTATTAATAGAAAAAGATAGATTGATTGAGCAACTTGTGAACGAGAACACTAGATTTCAAGATCAGCCGAATTTATTGTCGACAAATATTACTCAAATAGAAACTGTAGTTGACGCGCTCAAGAAACTGAATACTAGGATTGACATAATTGAAAAATCAAGTATGACAAGCACTTCGTATTCGCAAATTGTAAAAAAGACCTATGCTACAAAAAGCAAGGAAATCCCATTGAAAAGCATAGTGATTATACCAAGCCAGCAACAAACAAGCCTCAAGACGCGTAAAGATCTAGACAAAAACTTAAGCTTGTCTAAACTTCAAATCAAAATTCACGACGTGAAGAATTTTAGAAACGGTGGTGTGGAAATTAAGGTCCACGAAAGTAATCATGCCCAGTTAAAGGAAGAAATTCAGAACAAATTGCCAGCATCGTACCAGGTGTCTGAACCGAAAATGTTTAGACCTAAAATCAAAATCGTGGGCTACCATACAGATGAACGAATTACCGAAGAAGGGATAGTAGAAGACATCACAAGACAGAACCATTTCATAGAAAAGGAAGATATTAAGATAAATTTTATTAAGTATATTGCACAAAAAAAAATTATATTATTTACGCAGAGCTCACAGGTAATTTATTTAAACAGATTTTTGAAGATTATAATGGAAAAATTCTATTAGGATTTCAAAATGTATCTGTATACAAAAATAATGAAGTGTCTCAGTGCACAAATTGCTTCCGATTTAATCATTGTGGAAAAAAATGCCAAAATCCTAAAGTCTGTGCTCAGTGTGGAGAAAACCATGACACTTCCTTTTGTAAGCAGGCACATTCGAAATGTTGCAACTGTTTGTATTCAAATCACCAGTATAAAAAATCTTACAGTACCGATCATCTTCCGACAGACAAGAATTGCCCAGTGTATGAATTCTTTCAACAAAGAATTTTATTTTGATCAGTTTTGAATTATTTAGAATACTCAAAATCTCTTAATGGCTGGTAGTAAAATGCTTATCGGACACTTGAATGTACGTTCCCTCATGTCTAGTTTTGATGCTATTGAAAATATTACTGATGATGTGGTTAATATTAGCAGCTATTGTTTCTTGCGTTGTGATAGAGAATCTCGTGGTGGTGGAGTTGGAATCTATGTTAAATCAAATTTACATGCTGAAAAGGTATATATTCATACAAATTTTGGTGATTTTTTCGAAAGCATTTGGGTTAAATTGGTTGCGGGTAAGTGTGAACTGTTAGTAGGTGTTTTGTACCGACCACCCTCTAAAAACATACAACAATGTGCAGATTTATTAAATGGTTATATCATCATAACATCGTGATATTGGGAGATCTGAATATGATTTTTTTTAATAACAATATATTCTCACTGCGTTTTGAGCTGATCGGGTTCACACAAATCGTAACGGAAGCCACCCGTGTCACAGATAGTACTGCAACATTAATCGATCCAATATTTTTAAATAATCCTCAAATATGCAGCTATTCTTCCGTCATGGACACGAATGGTATTTCGGACCACAAACTCGTATTTTTTCATTTTGACATTCCATCTTATAAAAGAAATCAAAAATTTATCACAATCAGGGATTTTAAACATTTCAGTGAGGATGATTTTCTTATCGATCTTTTTAAATCGGGCTTAGATGAATTATTTACGAAATCTAATATTGATGAGAAGGTAATGCACATTACAAGCGTTATCGTGGAAACCTATAATAAACATGCACCTTTTAAAACTGTAAGAATTAATAAGCCACCATCACCTTGGTTAACTAATGAACTGCGCACTGTTCTTGATGAAAATAATACTGCACAAGCTTTATATAAAACTAATAAGACCGTGGACGCCTGTAATAACTTCAAATCGCTTAGAAACCGTGCTCTTAACATGATCAGGAGGGACAAAAAGACATATATCGAAAATTTGGCAAATGAAAATGATTCAAAAAAATTGTGGAAGTCTCTCAAACAACTTGATATAAATTTTCGTAGTAAACCAACCCTTCCGGCAAGTTTTAATGACCCTACCAAAATTAATGATTATTTTATGTCTGTTTATAGCTATAAACCTGTTGATTCACTAGTTTGCGAAAACTATTTCAAAAATAAATTAAGCTCTGAATATATTTTTTCATTGAATAAGATTAGTTCAAATGACGTATTACAGGCAATAGGGAGCCTAAAATCTGATGCGAAGGGAATTGATGGTATATCCCTGTCAATGATCCAGCTTGGCCTGCCAGTTATTCTCCATCACATCGTCAACATCTTTAACGACTGTTTGGAAAAAGGCTACTTTCCAAACACATGGAAACAAGCTCTAATTATGCCAATTCCTAAAAAAATGAAACCCACTGAGTATAATGAACTCAGACCTATCAGTTTATTACCAATTTTATCCAAAATTTTAGAAAAAATTATTACTTGCTAAATTAAATTACATAGGTCTTGATAGTGTATCCCTTTCATTTTTCGACAGTTACCTTCATCAAAGAACTTAGTGTGTTTTTCTCAATCAACAAATGTCTCAAGTGACAATAATTCCCTCAGGCGTACCTCAGGGCTCTGTATTGGGGCCGCTTCTGTTCCTCATATATACGTTCGACTTAAGCAAAAGTATTGATAATTCTCATGTCCAGTCATTTTCAGACGATACGCAATTGCTCCATTATTTTAACCCAGATAATGTCAATAATATTACTCAAATTTTACAAAACGATGTTAATAAATTAATTAAATACTCTTTAGATCACAATCTACTTATTAATCCACAAAAATCTAAAATGTTATTATTTTGCGCACAAAGAAAAACATACAATGTAACACAGCTGTTGAACATTCAGATAAATAACCAAATTTTGCAATTTTCTGATTCTGCAAAAATTCTTGGTGTTGTTTTTGATACAAAATTAAGGTTTATTGAACATGTTAAAAGTCTATCTCAGAAAACCTACCTACGGCTGCGCACTCTTATAGCAAACAGGTATTTACTAAATTTTAAGTTGCGTAAAAAACTATGTGAAGCATTGGTCATATCATATACTAAATTATTGTAATATCGTATACTATACTTGTTTAGACAATTTCACTAAAAACGTTATTCAAGTTATTCAAAACAATTGCATACGATTCATTTTTGGCTTACGTAAATTTGATCATGTATCAGCGAAATATCCCGTTCTAAACTGGTTAAAAGTTAATGACATGGTCAAGTATCACTATTCAGTTTTTGTTCACAAATTGCTGCTCACGTCAAAAAAGGTAGTGGCAACGTCGCAAATTAAACCCAGTGATTTTCCATTTTCTGTTTTTAAACAGTTTCAATATGTAATATAATTTCTACAGTTCACTGGATGTAGATTGAAACAGGAATGTACGCAGATACTAAAAAACGGGTAAGAAAAACGCAAACTTTGTTCAAGAAAACATTGTAGTTTGTAACCTCAAAAACTCAGCATACGATAAAATTTAGACACGATACCTTCGCTGTGATGCCAAGTGTACCAAAAATTCTCG